AAGTGGTGTAAGAAACATTGATTTGTACAGACTCACTAGAATCAGAACAGATCTAGTTTAATACAATTGAAGAGAAAATAATCCCCTCGGCTCTTAATGGAATTCCAGTGTACCTATTTCAACCAGAGAGTTATGTCACTTAAAAGGATCTAAACATAAAATGTTACTGCTTTGGGGACACAGATACTTGAAATGTGTTCTACACATTGGATATTTGACTTAATCACCCTTTTAATGAATCAGTGGTGGATTTCTTCTGAGTGTGTACATGTGATTTATAGTACCAGGCAGAAGAGCACATTCATTGCAGTACACACCATAAACTAGTGACAGAAGCTGGCTTGAAGCTCAGACAAGTCCTCAGCTTGAGTCTGTCACCCTTCATGGACAGCTCCATTTTTGAAAGGCACGAGCACTCAGACATAGAAAATTACTGCCATAGTTGAGTAGAAAAATGATAGCAGCACACACACTATGGTATAAGAGTGAGATGCAAAACTTTTCCATGCTTTTACCTGAATTTTAGTGTTGAATCAAAATTTAAAAAAAAAAAAAATCCAGTACAAAACATAGGAAATCAAAGTAATTAAGTTGGGCAATTTTGTGTCCCAAAGGCAAAACTTATTAGATATCAGTCTATCATGGACAATAAGACTTACTGAGTCTGTTTGGGTTATTCTTACACTGATGTGTTTCCCAAATCTTTGCAGTTCACATCTTCCTGTGGTGTTGTCTCTCTTAGTGCTTCTTTTTCCTGCTTTTAAAAGAAAGCAAACTATTCTATGCTACATTTGAAAGAGGTGTGTCCTGAGGGGTAAAAAAGAGTCCCTTTCCATTCCTGAGAGGTTGTACAAGTTCATAATTACAAGTGAATTTTGTCGGCTGGAGGTTGTGCTTCCACATTTTCCCTGTCCATAGTAGTACAATGTTGACATAGACATCATTTTTTTTATGGAGACAATATAATTTTGTGCTTGGGAGATAGATAGGGAAGCTGTGCATGCCCATCATGAGGAATCTGTCACAGCAGAATCTTTTATATTACAGACAAACTGCCTGAAGCTTGTTTGTGTTTTGCTTAGGGTGTAGTGACTGGAACCTTGGTATAA